CTGAGAACGAGCAGTTATTGCTGCAAAATCTGCCAAGACAAGGGAAGTTTCAGGTGCCCCTGCATGCGATATTCAAGTTTTGTAGAATGGATTAGCAAGTTCCATGAGAAGTTGAACAAAAATCATTGAATATTCTAGCGACCCTTAAGAATTGTACTCCCTGATGCAAAACTGCTGCTGCCCATTTTTGCAAACATGAAAATGCAGAAATTTAAAAAAAAAAACAACAGTGAAGACCTAGAGATGCTGCTGAAATTATGCCACTATCATCCCCAGGTAACTGTACGGCCTTTAATGAGGTAGCAAAGGTCCAGAAATTAATAAAATTCCTTAATGATCATTAGCTCATGAGGACTTAGGGCTGTAAAATGAGTCTAAGGTAGTTAGATGCTAAGTTTAATGTGATGTGGGGACTTTGGGGGGTTCAACTACTTGTCTCTTTTGGGGTTTCTCAGCAATCCCAGCTGCTCTCTGCACCCTCACACACAGTAATGGTCTAATGACAGCAGCAGATCCTGCTCTTCATCTCAGACCTGCAACTAATGCCTTTGTCTCACATTTATCAGAGAAACTAAGCTCTTGTCCACTGGATAATTTATATACTGCAGCTGCTTTTCCATCAAAGTTACCCGGGGACATGCTTGAGCTATTTCCTACCTCTTGCTGTTCCCAGAGCTTCAAGCAAATGACCCAAAGTCATTTGTCCTGGCTGCAGGTATGGTCCTGGTACCGTGCCATCTGCTTCCCCTGCTTGAATCCCCTTGGCAGAGGAGGAGAAAACATCACGACCAGCACCAGATGAGGTGGGAAACCCTCCCTAGATGGCATGGAAAGAGCCGGCAGGATGGAAGAGGCTTGTATGGCCTTTCCTCAGCTCCTCTTGTCATAAATGTGAGACTATGCCAAAAGGCAATGTGATAGGAGGTAGGGTGTGTTGTGTGGTGCTACAGAAAGGGCACATCGTAAACATTATAGGGAGGAATTAGCTGATGCCCTCACATGAAGATTGCTAATCCATGGGCTGCTCGTTTCTAAAGATTCTGTTGGATTTTTTTCAGGCTCCCTTCGCTACACCCTCTCTGTTTATACCTTTCTTTTGTCCCTTTTTCTGCCTCTTCCCAACCAGTGCACGTGCTACTATAAACTCACAACAAAAACCTTTCCACTCCCTGTAGCAGAGCTCTCGGGCCGCCCCTACCAGCTAGAAAATTCACCTCACCTTCCCTCAAACAACTTTAAAGGGCTCCTTCCACTTCTGCTGCATCTGCACCTCCCTAAATATAACCTCTGCCTCACAAAATCCGGGATTATGATTCCTGACCTGGTTGCTGCTGAGTTCAGCAAGGTGCTACATCAAAATAATCTAGGCAGGCCCACAAGATGGTAAAGAAAAAACCTAATTTTCTTCTAAATATTGGATTTTCTTTACATTTCTGCAGAAAAATATGCTCTGTTTTAAATGATCACTTCTTATATATATAAATGGTAATTTTTTTTGTCTAGAAATGACAAGGTATGATATTATTTTCAGGGTTTTGTTTAACATTTGACTATTATTTTTGCAGGATACGGCAGCAGGAACTTGTATCTTAGTAGTTTTGTAGGTTTTTTGAGCATCTGTAAAAAAGCTGCACCGATCCTAAACATAACTAATAACTCCCCAAGCTCAGCAATTAGTCAACTATAGGATAAGCTTGAAGATAGTAGATAGGCTTAATTGCATATATTCATTGAGAATCGATAGCAGAAGAACGGTGCTTGCCTTTGATTGCCAATGGTTAGAAGCAGCTGTAATTTTGCATTAATTGAAGACCGCTTTCCCTTCCACCTGCTTGAATTTGTGAGACTTTTAGTGGTTTCTCTGCAGTTGCTCTGATGGGAGGCTCTGTGTCCCCCCTCCTGCATCACAAACCCCTCCTCACCCAGTCACAGGAACTCTGGTGTCACGCCGAAGAGAGATTTTTTACTAAATCCTCAACTTCCAGCCCCTGAACTCAGCCAGAGGGTAAGGAGGGAACACTTGGTGCAGTGACAAGAGACCACAACTTGGTGCCAAGTCCCGCCAAGCTTTTCTTAGACACAATTTGGTACACCCCACCCCTCCCACACACACCTCCCTGCTTTTGGGATCATGCAGAGTCTAAATAGAGCACAGAAATCATGGTGGCACGTCAAAATAAAGAGAATTTGGTGTTTTCCTGGTAGAGAACACTTAAGTCTGTTACTTTTGGAGGCAGTCCTGCTAGGAAAGTCGGAAATGTCAAGGTTTCCCCCCGTAATAGAGAAAAAGAAATGGAACTGAGCATCCCAAATGAGGGTAACTTAATTGCAGAGGAGACCACAACTTGGTGCTGAGTCCCACCAAGCTTCTCCTGGCAGCTTTGTGGTGCAACTCATGCCAAAGAGATGATAAAAGCTGGTGGTTAAGGGTGTGCTTTGTGGTGCAACTCATGGCTGACAAGAAAAGCTACACCAAAGAAAGCAGTTTATTCCAAGCTCTTACACTGTCTTGTCCAGCCCACAAGACCTACACCTCTGTCTCCCATACCCGAATTGTCTATATTTATAATAGCAGGGGCTATTAATGTTTGCAGAGTGCCTAACACTGTTAGGAATAGACCCATGCAACTGCTATTAGGACAAAGCTGTAATAAGCTCTTGGCTGTGGTGTGTTCCACAACAACGTGGGTTCTTAGACACAATTTGGTACACCCCACCCCTCCCACACACACACCCACTTTTGGGATCACGCAGAGTCTAAATAGAGCACAGAAATCATGGTGGCACGTCAAAATAAAGAGAATTTGGTGTTTTCCTGGTAGAGAACACTTAAGTCTGTTACTTTTGGAGGCAGTCCTGCTAGGAAAGTCGGAAATGTCAAGGTTTCCCCCCGTAATAGAGAAAAAGAAATGGAACTGAGCATCCCAAATGAGGGTAACTTAATTGCAGAATATTTCTGCAGGAAAATTTTCCTGTTTCAAAGTGGTTCGAAGAACAACCAACTGGGGGTTGGACTTCCTGGCCAATAGTACTGCAGAGAAAGGCAGTCTCAACTCGTGTTGCTTCCTTAAGGCACAGGCATTTCTCCATTACAATTCTATAGCAGCACAAACAGCCACCTTTAAAGCTAAATGGCCCATTAGTTATGAATCTTTATCCCTTAAGCAATGTTATGCATTTGAATTATGATTTGCCTGTTGCTGGTTCTTGTAAACACGCTACACCATGAACTACACCATCTCCATTTTACTCTGAGATGCATTCCAGTGGGGAAAGGTGATCAAATCCAGACTTTATATCAATCTAGCCATGTTTTACTTCCTCCAGCTGTTTGTAGCTTTAGAGAGTGCCCTGACAAAAGGCAATACAGACTGAACCAAACAAAGGCACGACCTAAAGGTGAGGGTGGCTCATGGCAGCGCTGTAATTCCACCTTCTCTCCCTGCCCTCGTATTTCTTCTCAGCTCTCTGTGGCTGGCAGGGGAGATGAAATGAGATCTGTCTGGTTTGCAGGTTTAAAATCACAGAATCATAGAATTATCTAGGTTGGAAGGGACCTTTAAGATCATCTAGTCCAACCATCAACCTAACTCCGATAAAAAAACTTAAAACCATACCAAAACCTCCTCCACATTATTAAACCATGTCCCCCAGCACCTTGTCAAACCCATCTTTTGAACACCTCCAGGGATGGTGCCTCAACCCCTTTCCTGGGCAGCCCATTCCAGGGCTTCATAACCCTTTCAGTGTCAAAATTTTTTCCAAATATCCAGCCTGAACCTCCCCTGGTGCAACTTGAGGCCATTTCCTCTTGTCCCATCGCCTGGGACTTGGGAGAAGAGACCGACCCCCACCTCTCTACACCCTCCTTTCAGGGAGTTGGAGAGAGCCAGAAGGTCTCCCCTCAGCCTCCTCTTCTCCAGGCTGAACAACCCCAG